TACTATATATATATATATATATATATATATATATATATATATATATATATAATATATATATATATCGCGGTATCACGACGTGATTACTGCGAAAAATGGACAGAGAGATTGGGACACTTACACGACTTACGGAGGACAAATGGCGAGCTCCTCGCGAGAAGCTCGATACAACTTATGTTGCACTTGTGGGACGGAAGTCACCGGATGTAGCCTGGCATTTCCGGCTCGCTCCCGAGAGCTCGTTCCGCTCTACTCGTTTCCGTACTGCGATTTAACACGACCCTAATTCACCGCCTTAAGTTATTAATAAATCCAAAATCAATCAATTCGCCGCGCAAGAGTCAGAGCGAGGCTCGAGACGCGATACGAGCGATCGTGCCTCCGTTTCGTTGTTGGGTTTTGAACTTTGAACCCGGTGCACAGCCGTGGCGTCTCTCTTCGCGACCATTTTAACAGACTTGCCCTCGAACTACGATACAAACAAAGTTCCCGCGCGATAACAAAAGCCGATACATACACAACAATGAATAGAAATCGCTCGCTATCTTTCTATCTGGCGCGCGCGCGCGCGCGCGCGCGAACCGATCGATTCAACGCAACTGGAAGATTAACAATGACGAAGATTCGGTACGTTAAAATTATGTACAAAAATTAAATTAGTATAACAACAGAGAAACGCCGTCGTGCCGGAGACGGGAAAATCCGCCGATTCTCCGCTCCATCGCGATCCCAGTATGTACATATCTCTTTCGCGCGCGAAACCACATATTATCGGTATCGGCCACGGTGTGGTCACCGCAAACGGACGATCTGCCTGTCAACAAGCATATAACGAGATACATTATTTATTACGCACTTCGCTGAAAAACACATTCAATTCATCGTCATTTTAATCGTCAGCATAGTCGTCATCGATTTTGTCAATGTGAATTGTCGTCGTATCGAGTCGACTCGCCTTTCTCTCTCTCTTGCTCTTCCATTTGTCTTATCATTGTTATTATCGCCTATTTCTTTTTTTTTGTTGCGTAGTTTTTTCCCTCGCTTTTTCTCTCATGCACGATTCTCGAATAGAACAGAAGCATACGCAGAGCTCGTATTCGGGGACGAAGAAACTCGCATGGAACGAATGAAGGCTCTTATGTGTTATTGCGATGAATATTATTATGGAAAAAAATAGTATAAATAATTCTTCGTAAAATAGAAATATGGACGACGCGCAATTGGCCTGAAAATTGGCCAAAGAATTCGCAGTTCAAAAGAAATGCGCCTAACGAAAGACACATTTATATTTAATAATATATTTAAAGGAGCTTTTGGAAGTTCAGTTTCTATTTCGGAAATAATCTCAAACAGAAAAAAACGCATATTAATACATTAAATATATTACATGGCAAGGTTGCTATCTTTTTCGCAGCGTTTTCGCAACTTTTCTACGCGTAATTATCGAACGTAAAGGTTATCGTGCAATTAATGATCAAATCTTTGACGACTCATTGAATTTCTTATTCACTGGTCTCTACATATTCATGTTAATAAATTTTAAAATTGTTCCTACTTTAATAGGCCAATTAAAAACAAATTAGTTACGAGTCATCGATTCAAAGATTCAATATTTATTAATTAAAATTTAATAACGAACGATAATGATCGATCATTATATAAATCTTCAACCTGTCGTTACGAAAATTTACAGTACGTAGAACTTACAGCTGCACAATTTTTGCTCCATGGAGAGAGAGAGAGGACTATTTTTAGGACGGAAATTCAACTCGAACTGGGAAGCAAAATTGGATCACATTGGATTTCTTAATAACGCGAGCCTTCCGCGAAAAGAACAATTGTTTTGTAAATCGAGGCGGTTCGATCATCAACTTTCAACATACCGAGTTTGTGCGGATCGATCTGAATTCCCAAGGACCGCCCGGTACGATCGACCGTGAGAAGACAGGAACATCTTAACAGTCGTCTAGCCGCGCCCCGAAATCGCATCGCGGGCGCGACGATTGCACGTCCCGGTACAAAATCGAAGACACGATCGGAAAGGCCGAAACACCGATGGCGGGAAGGCGCAAGAGGGGAAAAGGGGGGCAGAACGCGATTTGGATTAACTCTCCGATTCATCTCTTTCCTCATGCGTAAATTATATCTAAATACAAATTTAACGCGCTAATTAAATAATCGGGTTATACGGAATAGAATTGTTCTTAGAACAAGATGACCACAGCCTTAATGTGGGAGTTCCGTTTGTTGATTTACAATGCGCGAAGCAAAGTGGCGTGCGATCAAACTTTCGTTGGCGAAGGATCAAAAATGCATGCTCGGAGAGTTAACGAGAAATAATTCCGCGCTTCCTCAGATCGATCCGCGCGCGATCGTCCCGGTTCCTCGATCAACGGCAACGTCGTTCCGCGCGAGCAAACAAACCCCGAAAGCGAGCCTGCGCTCTCTCCGCACTAACAATATAATTCCTCTTTATCCGCATTTTCGCTTTGTATACTTTAATTAGTGAATATAATATATATGTATAGGTAGTAATTGCAAATACAACTATATATAATGAATATACGAGCCTTTGTCAGGGGGAGCAATGCAGTCGTCGTCAATAAAAGTCACGGGGGTACATTATATACCTATACATGCAATCTCGAGTCGCCCGGTCATCATCAATATCATCATGATCATAATCAACATCATTGTAATCGCCGTCGTCTCTTTCGCTTCCACACTCTCTCACTCATCTTTCTTTCTTCTCTTAATCTCGTTATCGCAACGCAAACTTAAACAAAAAAACGCACTTGTGTCTGTATATATATCTATATATATATACGTATATATATATATGTAAGTCCATTCTCTTTTTTCTCACCGTTTCACCTGCTTCTCCTCTCGCGCATTCAATGCTGAGAACATAAAGACTATCTCGTCGCGCTCCTTAAGTCACAATTTGTCAGTCATCCGAGCGCGCTTTAAGCTTTCTTCTCCTCTTAATTGTCTCTTAAGCACTTACAAAATATTATTCCCTCGCTCTTCGATCGAGCACGCGGCGACCGATCTCTCTCATTTCACTTCACTCGGCGCCGATCGATCGCGCGGAAGAGCTCGGCTCGCTTCCGTCGATCTTCCGCGCGTAGATCTTTTGCGTTGAGCTCGCAGATTTTTAGCCCACATATCGATTGAATCAAACTTTTTTTTTTTTTTTTTTTCTTTCTTTTAAAGAGAGTTACCTTTTCCCGACGCATTTTCTTTATCTCGCGATTTCTTCTAACTTGACGCAACTTGATTAAAACTTCAGAACAGTCGCGCGGATCTTTAAGCTAGAAAATCTTTTGTATTCAATCGAAGTCACTAGGTTCAGTGATATCTCTAGGTGATTATGGGCTTTGAAGGGCTGACGAGATCGATCGCCGGCGTTCCGCGGACACTAATTCTTATTTTGATATGGGTGTTCGTAATGGGAAACGCGAGCGTCCGATACGAGTCGTCGATCGAGCATCAAATCGTTCGTGATATCGAACGCTCGCATTCGCCCGGCTCGTCGCATTTCTCTTCGTTCTTCTTCGTTCTCTTCTCGTCTTCGCTTTAATCTCTAAGGCGCTTTTTTTCACACACGACTTACAACCCACCCAACCACGACAGACCTCATTTCTGCCGCGGACCCTCGACGCTTTCGTCGCGTCAACCCTCTATCTACTTTACTAGCTCGGCGAAGTACGCTGTCTGGATTCATCAAGCCGCGCATCCGCCTCTACAAATCTTCCCGAAATCTTGTAACCTTGCGACATTTTCTGTGTCGTACAAAAAAAAAAATGTTTCGTATATATATATTAAATTTGTAAAACATCGTAAAGTTGCAAGTATCTTTCGTCCTCTTTTAACCGATGGTACAGATATAGTTTCGGGAGATGCGGATTCAAC